AAAACAACAACAATGTTGTGTGTCTGTCTGTGTGTTCTCACATAAATTATGATAAGTATGCAAAGTGTGGTTGTTCAATAATCATGTTTTGATAATTTGGCTTTTATTTATAACGATTAAATCATTTTAACAAATTTGAAATAAAATTCAATGACGGCATATAGTGCACTTTGGTCAGCTGGAGTGTATGTCGGGCGGATCTTTTTATATTCCCTCTATCAACAGGTGGACATTTAAATAACAAAAATCAATTGGGATTTTTATAATGGGGTTTATGGTTTATTGTTGGGCAGGAAGATTTGAAAATCAAAAATATCAAATTTATTTACTTAGCTGCCATGTTACAGAACGGTTGTTCCATAAGCCGATTGTTTCAAGCGCGACGGTCTTGTGCTCATCTCCTCCAATTTGAAAGACCACGTTCCAAAACGTTGTTTTCTACTTGGTCTTTCCATCTGATTCGTGGCCTTCCCCTTCTACGGGAACCATCAGTAGGTCCGCTTTTATATGCCTTTTGTGCTGGGGAATTCTCATTCATTCGGACAACATGGCCTAGCCATCGTAGTCGCTGCAGCTCAATACGACTGACTATATCGATGTTCGCGTATACATTGTAAAGCTCGTGGTTCATTCGACGCCGATATTCACCGTCGACGCAGATCGGCCCGTAGAGAATTTTTTCTTTTAGACACTCCAAGAGCTGCCTCATCTGCTTGCACAAGTACCCATGCTTCAGATCCATATAACAGCAGTATCTGCGTCTTGTAAAGTGTGAGTTTGGTCTGGCGGGAGGTGGCCTTATTTCTAAACTGCTTACTCAGACTATAGTATCATTTGTTGGCCATCACAATCTCCGAATTTCAAAACTGATGTCATTCGTTAGTTTGGCGGTACCAAGGTATATAAAATCCTTAACTACCTCGAAGCTGTAGTTCTCATGTTCTTCAGTTGGTCCGAGTCAACTGGACGTCATGCTCGTTGATACCATCAGCTTGGTCTTCTCGCCGTTTACTGCAAGACCCATTTTGGCAGACTCCTTATCAGTTTGTTCAAAGGTGGTTGTTACCGCTCGCAATGTTCCACCCATTATATCGATGTCATCGGCGTATGCGAGTAACATGTGTTTTTTTGGTGTACAGAGTGCCATTTCTGTTCACCTTTGCATCTCGTATGATCTTTCCCAACAGGATGTTAAAAAGACTGTCACCTTGTCTGAATCTTCGTTCGTTATTGAAGGTCTCCGATAGTCCTTTCCGACTTTAACTGCTGACATTGTGCACTTAAAGTTATCCTGCATAATTAATTTTGAATTAATTTTGCAGGAATGCCAAACGTAGACATGGCTTTAAACACCTCTGAACGGATAGGTCTATCGAATGCGGCTTTATAGTCGACGAATATGTGGTATGTGTCGATATGTTTTTTGTGGGTCTTTTCCAGGATTTGGCGCAGAGTGAAAATCTGGTCAATGGTGGATTTGCCAGATCTGAAGCCGCAATATCGTCATTGAGTAGGGAGTGGGCAATTCTTTGCCATTGTGCTTCTATACTATTATCGGGACAGGGAGTGATTTCGTCAAGCAGGGGGGTAAGTTGAGCGGATTAGGCTTCTGCTATCTGCTCGACTTTTCGACGTCGAGTTTCCGTGTTACATTAGATCGCACCTTTGCTGCTACATTAAGACAGGCCACATTGGCTGCCACCTTAGCCGAATCGATATCGATCGAACGTCTAAAACACTGGACGAATGCCTTCCTTCACAACATGGTCAAGTTGATTTCTCGTTGCTTGATCAGGCGCTCGTAAAATATGTCTTTGGTCTGCTCATCTTCGTCTTCGGTCGGAGCATGGGCGCAAATGAGAATGATGTTGAAGAACTTCGCTTTTATACGGATTATTGCAATTCCCTCCTCTACTGGAGTGAATCTGGGGAACTCGCGGCATATATCAGCTCACTATTTCAACGGGTGATGAAAATAGTTAGATGAAAGAGGGACCAAGATAAGCCTGGGCTTCGCCATGTTAAAGCCAATCAGAGCCGTTGCTTGGTATCTATCATCCCCTACGTCACCCAATACCACTATAATATATTTGATAATAAAATCATCATTGTAAAAATGCTTTTCGTAAAGTCTTTGTTCCATTTATGAAAACACTTGGTGCAATCATGTAAACATAAAAGTCGTCACAGAATAATCTCTGAATCGTGTTTAATTATCATTTTTTAATAATGACACATTTATTTCAATGTAAATAATTAAAATATTACGCCTTGCTTTTATTAGTCATATTGTAGAGCTGTAGTTGGAAATTTATATCCACAAGATATTTGTAGACTTTTATCTGTAATAAAAACCATTGGGTATTGATCGTATTGCGGCATAGAGGCTTTCACGATAACTTATAGCATCTGATTTACATATATAACCGTTTATTTTTATTTGAAGTATATTACATTTTAAAAAATTCGCTCGTCTCGTCCTCAGTTTAGAATTGCAAATGGAAATCTAACTGTCATCTATCTTGCTATCATTCAATGCATGCGGAAATTATACAATTAAGGGAACCCCCCATTCTCGATTTTTTATTTTTAAGATTTTAAATGGGCTGGTAAATGAATACCAATGCTTGTTAAGGTTTGTAACTTGGCACATATGTATTTGAAGATTTAAAAAGGAAGAAAAATAATTTACCAAAATTTTTTGTTGTTGTTTTGTTGTTGTTTTTGGGGTTCAAAGAAAAGTCCATATTTTCGATGGCGGGCATGATAACTCCTCACTGGAACATCGGAATCCGAAAATTCCAACTGTTTTAGAAAGAGGGCATGTCTGAACTAGGATTATTGACTTCGCACAACAATGAACAAAATGGCGGAACTTTGAAAAAATTTTTATGGAAAATCGCCTATTTTTTACCACAAACTAAGTTAAAAAATAAGGAAATTCTTCACCGATTAGCTTTATCCTAGTTCATACGAGAGCTACACACTCCCAGAGAAACGTGTCAAAATTTGGAACCGATTGGATTATTAGTTTTTGAGTTATCGTGCCCGCCATTCGTTTTGAGAAAAACGCATTTAAAGTTTGAGAAGCCCTTTAGCCGTCACTTGATGCTAACACAATAAATCGGCTATATCTTTAAGAGTTCTTGAGATTTTCACTTGAAATTTTGTAGGGACATTCTTGAACTAGTGTAGATTCGAATTAAATCAAAAAAAAATTTTGACCCCGAGAATGGGGGGGGGTCCCTTAAATGTAAATAATTACAATTTCCTACCCTCCACTTTCGTTGTCTATACTTGAAGTTATCGGACAAGGCAGTGTTGGATTTCCAGACAGCGACAATGATGATGATATTGACTGCTGATGAGATAACGTTTTCAATTTGAGTACTCTTTGAGATGAGAGCAATTCAAAAAAAAAAAAAAATAAATAAATAAATAAATAAAAAAACAATGTTATTCTATTCAAAATCACAATTACGTCTTAGCGATAAAATTTTTTTAATATAGGAAATAAAAACTACACAACAATTCTTCCCGCAACTAAAATGTACCTTTTGTAATCTTTTAGTACCTTTTTTCCAAACCTAATTCCAAATTTTATGATTGCGAGGTTCCCGCAAATCCATAGTTAGTACACATTAATATTAGGTTGGGGAAAAATAAATCCAGTATTTTATATGAAGTATAGGACATTATTTAACATGCTTCGGAATGTCCGATTTGGGCCAATTATGTATCGTTTTGTTATATGATTTGTTGCCCATAAAGGAAACTTCATAATGCCTCTCTCATAGAAGAGGGAGAAGAATATCGAGCTCCTTTTTGAATCCAGCTTTGTGTAAATGGTTTAAACCAGTTTTATGGTCGATTTTTAGCATCTGGGCGATATTACGGCTGAAAACATGGTCAACTTCGATCATTTCTTCTATTTATCGACATTAAACATTAATAGATTTCTTTTTCCCCAACCTAATATACATTTTCATAAGTACACACCTCAACAATCCAATAGAAACCATTTTCCCACATAAATCCAAATTGTACAAAATTTAGTACCATTTAGTAAACATGTACAAATTTCCAAAACTACATTCTTACCCCAATCCTTCTGCACTTCAACAGTAATCCTAATATCAAATTTTAGTATTTCATCTCTATCGGATCACCTAAATCCAAATTGTAACAAATTTAGTACCATATAAATACAAATTTCCATCATACAATCCAATAGAATTCTTATATCCCAATTTCAGTACCATTGGACACTTCTCAGAAATTTCCAAAACATCCCACATATTCAAAACCAAAAGCTCTATCGGATCACCTAAATCTAAATTCTGCCAAATTTAGTCCCATTTAGTACCTATAAGTACAAATTTAAAAAACAACATCTATATCCAATTCCTGCACTCCAACAGTAATCTTAATTTCGGATTCCAGCTCTATCGCATCACCTAAATCCACATTGTACCAACTTTAGTACCATTTATTACACATAAGTGTTCACTATTCTTCTTATTCTATCTCCAATTTTAGGATTCCAGCCCTAAATCTAAATTGTTTACCATTTAGTACACCCAATTTCATATTTGTCCATTGGTTCACCCAAATCCAAATTGTACTAAATTTTGTACCATTTAGTACTTTTCATACACATAAATACAAAAATCCATAAATAGCTATATATCGCAATCCTATACTTCGACGGTATTGTTGAAATTTTAGTATTCCACCTCCATTCTTTCCCCCAAATTTAAATTGTATCAAATTAAGTACCGGTTAATACTTTTCGCATACATGAGTACACATTTCTAAAACCACCTTCTTATATCTACAATCTTGATTCGCATTCCAAATTTCAAGTTTTTAGCTCTATTCGTTCATATATATATATAATTAAATCAAAATTATTTTCTTGTTTTCTTTCGATAAATATTTTCCATAAAATTACAACGTTTTTGAAATTCCAATTTAATATTCGAATTATTCTATTTCAGATTTATATCAAATCACCATGGCCTATGCCTATTGGAAATCGGGCAAAACAGACGATCATGCAGTGTTCGATTTATTTTTTCGCACCAATCCATTCCATGGTGAATTTACCATATTTGCTGGCCTGGATGAGTGTCTAAAGTTTTTGGATAGTTTTCACTACAGTGATAGTGGTGAGTATTGAATTGATAACACACAAGAAAATCCATATTTAATATTGTTTTTTCATTTCAGATATTGAATATCTAAAACAAACTCTGCCCGAAGGCACAGAAAATGAATTTTTCGATTATTTGGGAAATTTGACAGCCAAGGATGTAACCCTATATGCCATAGATGAGGGTACAGTGGCATTTCCGCGAGTGCCCATCATCAAGGTTGAAGGTCCTTTGATTATTGTACAGCTGTTGGAAACAACGCTATTGACATTAGTTAACTATGCAAGGTTTGTTATTGAGCAGGGAAGGCCTTGCTCACCAAAAACACTAAAGAAATCATTTGAAAAAATCCTCTCTCACTCCTTGTTTTTTTTCATTCTTTGCCTAACAGTTTAATGGCAACAAATGCAGCACGTTATCGCATGGTAGCCGGTAAACATGTAAACCTATTGGAATTTGGTTTAAGACGAGCTCAAGGTCCTGACGGTGGTCTATCGGCATCGAAATATTCATATATTGGTAAGTTTGACAATGAATCGATTTAATTGATTTGTTTTGTTTTCGATAGATGTGAAGGTGAGTTGGGTGAGGAGTGTTGCTTAGTTTCTTTTTTTATGGCACTAATTCTCACGTGATTGAAATCTGTTTTTTTATTTTTTTCGGGGGAAGTTCTTTTGTTTGGTTGGTGATTTGTTAGTCATGTATCAGCGTGAAAGGATAGCGTAAACAAAAAAATAGTCGTCATGTGTTAACTGTCACTTTTTTGGGTGATTGATAAATAAGGTCATGATTATCCATGGTACGGCGGTTCCATGGCATTTTATTACCAAAAAATGTTTGTGTATACTTTTTTCGAGGTCGATGTGATAATTGTTATTTTTTTAAGGAAAAACAATAAGTCGCCACTTTATTGTACTTCATAAAATGTTATTTTGAAACTTTTTTCTTCATTACTGACTACAATAAATCTGCATATGTAGTAAATACCTCCAAAACTATCGATGTTTATGTAGGAATAACATTTTGTGCAATCAATTGTATTACTGCATTTTATGAGGGTGGTGTCAATGGGAAAAATATTCTTCAGAAAATTTTTATTCACCGAACACAAGTTATCTGTTAACCCCTAAAATATGGATTTATATGAGAGATGTATACAATATAAGCTGTGGTTAAGATAAGTTTGCCCTCCTGCTGATAAGGTCTATAATAGTGAATTTTAGGACAGTGACCTCAATGGAAAAAATATTCTACATCAAAATGCTCTATATGTCACCGAACACAACAAATCGGTTTAGGTAGTGTAAACCCTTAAAATATCGATATATATATATATGTGCAATATAAACTATTGATATTACAGCTTTGCGCTCCTTCCAGCTTGGTGCCCTATATGGCCTATAATATTGCATTTTAGGGCCTTGGTGACAATGGAAAACATATTCTACACTAAATTTCACCATAGGTCACTGACCTAAAATAGCCCTAAATATCGGTGTATATTTAGGAATGCAATTTTGTAAAATTAGTTTTGTTATACTTTCTCATTAGAGCCGATCTGCCCTTCAATACTTCATTTTATGTGACAGGTGTCAATGGAAAAAATATTCCACACTAAATTTCACCATAGGTCACCGGTCACAAAAAAAATCTGTATATATAGTATATACTCAAGAAAAATCGGTTTTTATATAGAAAAAAAAAAAAACATTTTGTACAATTGCAATTTTTATTCTTTCACTTTCGAGACGATATTACCAACAATACTTCATTTTAGAGCAAAGGTCTCAATGGAAAAAATATTCTACCTAAAATTCATGAAATCTGTATAGGTAGTCTAAAACCCTAAAATATCGGTATATGTGAGAGGTATATACAATAGGAATTATTGTTCATTGAATTTTGCACTCCTTCCAGTTTGGTGCCCTATACGGCCTATAATGCCCTATATATCCCTACGGTCAATAACCAAAAAAGTATACGTAGATCAATAACCGTGGTACATTTGTACCCATCCAATGATAACTCTGTAACTCATTAAAAAATTGGACAATCGTGAGGTTTTTTGTTTTAAATTAGTCTATACTGATCTGATCTAGATGTAGGAACATTAAAATAATATATATTTAAATCCATTCTTAAATGATAATCTATCTAAAACAATCATTGTAAATTCGTTATAGGTTTCAAATGGGTTTAGCTTTTTTAGTTATTTTTTTATTGGGATCTTATTTAGGTATTCCTCAACCCCTCTGCAAATTTTTGTGGCCCTAGACAACATGGGGCCATAGGGGCGACTCGTGGAAATCTGAAACTACCTTGGTTTTCCTTTGGTATACAGCTCGGTGACGATATGGCCTATAATAGTGTATTTTGGGACAGTGGTGTCAATGGAAAAAATGTTCTACATCAAATTTCACCATAGGTCACCAGCGTCAAGAAATCTGTATGTGCAGAATATAGCCCAAAAATATCGGTGTATATTTAGTAATACAATTTTTTAAAATTAGTTTTTGTGTCAAGGACAAAAATAATGTACATCGAATTTCACTATAGGTCACCGACCACAAGAAATGTGTATATATACACATACCCTCTAAAATGCCTATTAATATTTATTCGATTATTTTATAATGAAAAAATATTGGCGATTTTCTGCAAAATATTTGCCCTAAAACCTACTACCGATTAATAGTTCCACCCGTTATGGGTATGGTTTTACCCATTATTATTAATGACAATCCATAAAATAATAGAAAAAATAGATATTAAGAAATATCCATGAATCTATCACCTTAAATATTATTCAACTAATGGAATGCGGCGGGAGCAAAGGTGTTTTCTACACCTTTGACAACAATGTCATATCAAGAAGCTCCAACTGCTGAAGCCGACAACAACAAAACAATAAAAATACAACTTTTCTTTTTTTTTTGCTTGATATAATTTATGGAGCCGCAACGATTAACGATAGACAGACATGCATGCAATCAACATTACATTCCTTGGTAATATTCAAAAAATAAAATACAAAATTTTCTGTTTTTTCGAACTCCATAAAGTAACATGGCAATTATCCTCTATTCTCAATGGGTATTTAAAATTTCAAAAATGTTTTTTTTTTAAATTCTTTTCGAATTGTTTTTGGGGTAATTCCCTAGGATATTTAAAGTTTGAAAAATGTGGGTGGGTGGTTGGATTGGGAGTTTTGAGTGACTGCCTAACTTTGCCCCCCAAAGAACAAAAACTTTTCTTACAATATCCTACCGGTCTACTATGACACATGGATTTTGTGAGGGTGTGTGTGTATGCACCACATTTTTTATATGTAAATGTGTTCTTTGTTGTTGTTGTTTACTTTTTTCCACGCTTGGTTGAGTGTGAAGCTCCCTTATGTGTTAAGATGACGTTTTACGTTTCAATTTGGTACCATCCTGTGCTAGGATGTTTTTTTCTTTATTGTTTGACTGACTGTTAGTCTTTTCGATGATTTTTAATGATTGCGCAAATGTGTTCACTTCTTTTGATATAACACATCGTAAATCATTGGCACTTAGAGCCTACCTAACGACCATACTGTTGCCTGGCTGACTACAGGTGAAGTCATCCACGTAAAAGTAGTTTGTTGGAGTTTTGGAATTTCCCTTTAATAGCAAATTGTTTTAATATTTTTTTAAATTGCCGGCAATATCCTTAAATGGGAATTTTTAACGGCAACTGCATAGTTTTGTCATCGAGAACAACTGTAACCGGTAATTACAGGTGCAATAGCAGTAGAGCTAATTGTTTATAATTATAATTAAAGAAAGAAACATTTTTATGGAAATAATATTCTAAATAAAATTTCACTATAGGTTACCGACAACCAGAAATCGATATATATATAGTATATATCATTAAAATAGCGGTGTATTATAGGTACACTTTTTTAATTAATTTTATTTTTTTTTCTCATTGGAGAGGAAATGTCCAATAATTTTAAATTTTAGGGGGAAGTTGTCGATGGAATAAATATTCTACATCAAATTTCACTATAGGCCACCGAACACAAGAAATCAGTATATCTAGTATATACCCCTAAAACATCGACATATATGTGAGAATATACAAAATAAAGATTTGAGATGCTAATTTTATACTTATTTCACGTGGTGGCCGATATGCTCTATAATACTTCATTTTTGGGGGATAAAGTCAAGAGAAAAAATATTCTACATCAAACTTCACTCGAGGTCAACGACCAGCAGAAATTTATATATACTATATATACCGCGTAAAATATCGATTTATATATGGAATAAAATTTCATGTTATTAATTTTGTAATTCTGACATTTTGATGACGATATGTCCTACAATAATTAATTTTAGGGGGATGAAGTCAAGGGAAAAAATATTCTACACCAAATTTCACTATATGTCACCGAACACAAGAAATCGGTGTATATAGTATATCCCCCTTAAATATCGGTATATATGTACGAAATATAAAATGTAATAGTTTGCACTTCTTCAAAATTGGTGACTATATGTCCAACAATACTGCGTTTTAGGGGCATGGTGTTAAGGAAAAAAATAATCGACATCAAATTTCACTATAGGTTACCGAACACCAGAAATCTGTACATATAGTCTATACCTTAAAAATATCGGTATATGTGTAGGAATAACTTTTTGTGTAATTAATTATATTATTATTTCACGTTGTTGGCGATATGTCCTATAACACCTCATTTTAGGGCAATATTGTCAATGGAAAAAATATTCTACCCCAAATTTCACAATGGGTCTTGGAACACAAGAAATCGGTATATATAGTATATATCCCTAAAATATTGGTATATGTGTGAGAAATATGAAATACAAACGTTTGTGAAGAAAAGGTTGCATTTCTTCAAAATTGGTGACTATAGGTCTAACAATGCTGCATCTTAAGGGAATGGTGTCAATGGGGAAAATATTCTACATCAAATTTCACCACAAGAAATCTCTATATATAGTATATACCGCTTAAATATGAAAGATAAAATATTGTTTGGTTAAAAATGTCCCTCTACCACATGTTTGTTTTCTTTTCATTCTGGGGGTTGGGTTTAATGGAAAACTTATTCTAATTTTTTTATTCTACCCAGGTCTATTTACACAAAAATTATTCTATTTTAAAGCACTCTTAAAAACTATTTAAATTTATTTGTTTAATATTTAATTGTATTCCTTTAATTTTTTCCAGGTGGTTTTGATGGCACCTCTAACGTTTTGGCTGGTAAATTGTTCAATATACCCGTTAAGGGTACACATGCTCATGCCTATATTACATCATTTTCGGGTATTGGTGAGCTGAAGACACGCCTGCTGAAACATAAAAGCACAGGTAAAGAAAATCACATCAATTTATTGAAAAAATTTCTCAAACTCTCATTCTTTTCCCTCTCTCTCTCCGTCTAGGTGTCACCGGTGACCTTTTGGAATTAGCTGTACAATATCGGCAGGCATTATCCCAGCTGCTTGATGTCTCCATGGAAGAATCATCCGAAGGCGAATTGGCCGCAATGGTATCATATGCCATTGCATTTCCCGATGGATTTATGGCTCTAGTCGATACGTACGATGTTAAGAGGTATTTCGCTTTTAGGCAAACTCTCTCGGAACAAAAAAGAATTTAGCATTTTTGTTATTTATTTTTGTTTGTGTGATCAAATTTTACTCCTCTTCCTACCTCCCCCTCCGTTAAAGCTAATAATGATATCCATATATACAGTTTTTGGAACAAAAAACAACAATATTGCACATCTTATCTAGCGTTTGATATATCATAGTGTTATTAACAACAGCTACTACTACAAACATTTTAAGTAATTGATAATCGAACAGAAATTATTGTATGTGTCTTTTGTCCTGTCATCATATTCGTTTTGTCCTCTGTCTTTGTACGTGTGTGTCTTCGTCTTCTTCTAACATTTGTTATCTATTACAAAACTTCATTTGTTTTAAATATTTTATTATACTCTACACCACTAGGGGTTTCGCAAACAGATATAAAAAGCAAGGCAATTTGATATCGAATTAATTTTCTAATCCACATTATGTCCTTCGAAGGTCTCAAAGGCCATCCAAGACCTCCAATAAATATTCAAGGCCTGTATGAGGCGTGAATTTTTTTAAAGAATATTTTTTCAAGGCCTACATAAGGCGTGGATTTTTTAAGAATATTTCTTTCAAGGTCTATATATGGAGTGCTTTGGATTAAAGAATATTTTTTTAAGGCCTATATAAGGCGTGGTTTGGATTAAAGAAAATTTTTTCAAGGCCTATATAAGGCGTGGATTCTTTTAAAGAAGATTTTTCAAACTTTATTAAGCCGAGGAATTTTTAAAGAATATTTTTGTTGTTTAGATTTCTTGAGAAATTGTTTATCAACGCCGCTTAGTGGTGTAGAGTATTCTTGAGTCGGTCCAACCGATTATTTTTGTTCAAAATTTAAAAAAAGGAAACCCAACAAAACATGTGTATAATATGTCTACCAACCAAAAACAACAACATCTTTTATACAAAAGAAGATTTCTTTAAAATTTAACTTCAAATTTCTGTTTCTAAAAACCAATAGCAAAAAACTTAAAAATGCCAAAAATAATGAGAATTTAAAAATAACTGCCAACACTACTAAACCAAAGACAAAAAATAAAATATCGCCGACATCAAATGCAATCGATGTTCAAAACCAAAGGCAAAAACAAACAGAATCCGCCGAACATCTCCAAGCACCAAATGATAATATTGAAAAATTATCAAATGGGTTCGCAGCAGCCACACCCGAGCCACATATAAATGGTAATGGTTTGGATATGCAAGCACTAGCAGTCTTAGCTGATTGTAATACGAATTCATATACAAATGGCAATTCAAAGCATAAAACTGACAAAAATGGCTTACGATCTCCAACAACAATTTCGTCTTCGTCACAGCCGCCATGTAACTTCAATATTCGTAACATTTGCAAAGATAACAATTCTCAAAAACAACAATCAGCATCACCACAGTCGTTATCATCGCCATTGTCGTCATCATCAACACTGCCAAAATATGTCGAGAAGTCATACAGGTAATTATTTAACTCCTGCTCCCTGCCCCACCCACCCGTAGTATTTAGACCTTTCCTCTTCTTCTTCTTCTAACTTGGAATACTTGCTCTAATAATTTTTTAATGTTCTACTTCAACTGCTTGAAGGGACGATCACAATTGAAGAGGGAATTTGTTTTGGTCTAAGGACATCATAGGCGAAACTTAAGTATTAAAAAATATTATTAAAATTAAGATGGAATTATTTCACAAATTTAATATACCCATCATCTTATGGTGGAGGGTATACAAAGAACCTAAGATAATGGCAGAATAATGGAATTAAAATTAGAAAATTTGATCCTTGGAAATCGTAGGGTTTCTATGATGTCCTTTACCAAAACATATCCCAGCTTCAATTTTATTTGATACTAATATTTGAAATAGGACAACCTCTTGATTATCTGCTCTCTATATTTTGCTAATTTATTTTTCTTTTGTATTCATACTCGTCTTCATCATCGCAGGCTATATGTCTGTCAGAAATGCTTCTACTTCTTCTTTTGCTCTATGTGCATGTTTCCTTTTATGGTCTTTTGTTTTATTTCAAATTTCATTTTTTTTAATAGTCAATATCCACATAACTTGTGTTGTATCTCGTTATTTTTATAAATATATTTTTTGTGGTTAAAGAAAATTCCATTTTTATGTAATTTTCTTTATTATTTATTGTATACATTCCCTTTTCTATTACACAAACAATTTTTGCAACAATTGGCATGAATTTTGGAATTGGTTTTGGAAAATGTTTTCAAAATTAAAAAAAAACTTTTTGTATATATTCTAGAAAATTAGTTGTTAAAAAACTCTAAATTTGATATTGGCATATATAACGTTATTAGATATATTGGGTTTATAACTCAGCTCTATGAAAAACCGAACTCTGTGTACAAAAATAAAAATGATTTTTGATTTTGTGAGAGGTAAATATTTTAAAAATATTTTGTATAATATAATTTTGTTGCATGTAATATAAAATCTTAATTACTTCCATTTTTAATAATTTTTTATTATTTTTTTTATTACACTTTTTCTTTTTTATTACAAGTTGTTTTAATATTACAAAATATTCTTTAAAAAAATCTACGACTTTGGGCATGGCCTCATAAAAAATATTCCCTACAAATCTTCGACTTTGGCTCAGACAATCGTAAAGAAAATCTACGCTTTTGGGCATGACAATCTTATAAAAAATAATCTTTAAAAATCTAGGGCCTTGACATTCTCTAAAAATATTTTTTTAAAAAGCCGTTGGCTTGACCATCTATTCTTCTATTCTACGTCTTAGGACCAGTGAATTTTTGTAAAAAAAAATATATTGTAGACATTCAAAATATCTAAAATCGATCGGGATTTTTATGTGGAGGCTATGCTAAATTGCTACCTGGCAAACATGAAATACCAAACGACAGACCCTCGGAAAGGAAATTTTGACAAGAGCCTTAAGTATACCGAAAATGTGGGCCGATATAGTTCATTCTCGAACCGGACGTTCAATTTTATTTCTCGACATCTTCCGAAGGTAGAATGATTACAACAGATGGATAAAACGGAAAATTACCTAAAATTGGTACAATTATATGGGGGCTACCCGAAAAAAATGAACCTATATTTATAATTTTTTGTGGAGAGATTTGCTACCCAATAAGAACTTAAAGTACCAAATTACAGCGAATCCGGTTGAAAAATTCTCTACAAGGAAAAAGTGGACCTATATTTATAATTTTTAGTGTAATATTTTGGTACTCCATAAGAATCCAATATACCAAATTTCAGCGAATTCGGCTGAAAAACGCGCTCAAGAACCCCAAAATACTGAAATTTTGGGGGTACCGTTATATGGGGGCTACCAGAAAAAGTGGACCTGTATTAATAATTTTTAGTGTAAAAATTTGGTAACCAATAAGAACCCAATGTACCAAATTTCAGGCGCTTAAACCCCCTAAAATATCGATAATGGGGGTACCGTTATATGGAGATTACAATTAAAAGTGGACCTATATTTACTATTTTTAATGGATAAATTTGACACCCTATACGAACCCAATGTACCAAATTTTGACGAGTTCGGTTGAAAAACGTGCCCAAGAACCCCAAAATACCGAAAATTGTGGAGTGTCCTTATATGGGAGCTATACCTAAACATGTACCGATGCAGACAAAGCATAACTCTATGCAAAAATTCGGCGATCTATCTCAATACATAACATTTTCAATCGACAGATAGCATTTTATTCGAATTTGAATTAAAAAAATGTCACAAAAAATCTGCACCTTAGGGATCTGATAATCCTCGAAAAAATACACTCTAAACCTGACCTGATTTTAACGAAATTTAGCACACATCATTCTAGACTAAATTTAATACGCTATGAACAATTTCGAATAAGCCGAAAGAAATATAGGGACTTTGGTACACCATTTCCTAAAAATCGGACGAAATTATATATGTGAGCTATATCAAAATCTGAAGCGATTTCAATGAAACTTTATATACGTCATTCTGGACTCAAATAAATACTCTACGCAGAATTTCGTCCCAATCAGACAAAACATGGGAGTTTGGTGCACAATTTTCCCCAAATCGGACGATATAATATATTGGAGATATGTATATGTAAATCTGAACCGATTTCAATGAAACTTAATACACGTCATTCTAGACATAAACACACTGGGTAGAATTTCGTCTCAATCAGACATATTTTGAGGGTTTGGTGTATCACTTACAAAAAATCGGACGAAATTATATGTGGGAGCTATATGTAAATCTGAACCGATTTTAATGAAACTTAATACACGTCATTCTAGATACCGACACCTCCGAAGAATAGTATGCTAAGTCTGAAAAGTGAGTTTTTCAGTAGAAGATTTCAAAGTATGGAAGTTTCTTTAATCGTACGTGCCATGCTAAGTACATTTTTGCTTATAACTTTGGTTTGGATTGGCCGATGATTACCAAAATTTCAATGAATTTAAATTAAGGACCGTAGTATCTAAAAACGTAAAGAACTTTAAAACATGCTAAGTCGACTTAGCATACTATGATTCGGAGGCGTCGATATAATTAAACACTCCGTGCAATAATTCGTCTCAATCGGACAAACTTTCGAAGTTTGGTGTATCATTTCACGAAACTCAACACACACCATTCTAGAGTTCATTTAGTACGCTATGCCAAATTTCGAGCAAATCGAAAGATATATAAGTACTTTGGTGCACCATTTACCTTAAATCGAACGAAAATATATATGGGAGCTATATCTAAATCTGAGCCGATTTTCCCAAAACTCACCACATATAATTCTAGACACAATTCAGTACGTTATTCAAAATTTCGTGCATATTGAACGATATTTAGAGACTTTGACGCATCATTTACCTTAAATCGGACGAAATTATATATGGGAGTTATATCTAAATCTGAACCGATTTACGCGAAGCTAAGCACACATCATTCCAGACTTAATTAAGTACGTTATGCCAAATTTCGTGCAAATCGAAACATATATAGGAACTTTGGTCGGACGAATTATATACGTCAGCTATATCCAAATCTGAACCGATTTTCACCAATTTCAATAGAGTTTGTCCTTGGGCCAAATAAATTAGCTATGCCAATTTTCATTCAATTCGGATCATAAATGCGACCTGTACTTTGTTTACAATTTAACATGGACCGTCGGACAGGCATAAATCGACTTAGAAAGTGAGTCTATGCATATTCTCAAAAGGAACGATGGGTCAATCTCGTTTCCTTTTTCTTGTCAAAAGGTACCCTGTACTGAGGTGACGGACAAAAACCCAAGTATTCGGTCCAACAATAATCGAAAAATATTTTAAAAAATTCTTTGAAAAACATTAATGATGTGGGCCGGACAATGTTAAAAAAATGATAACATTATAATTAAAAAAATAATGTTGTATATATATTTTATTTAATATTATGATTTTTAATTAATTAATTTTAATTTTGTTCCTTATTATTTTAAATAAACACTACTAATCCCTCATTGCTTTTGATTTGTTGCATTACTAATCCCATAATTAGTATCATCATTATAATTTACTTTTCATTTCCCCTTACTATTTTTACCCCTTTTTTCTTCAATTGGCTTTATTTTAAATTTGATTTGTATTTTTATTGATTTTATTATTTACCAAAAATTATTAACATTTATTCTAATTATTAAATTAGGAATGAACTCAAAAAACAATTTACCAAAAAATGTTCATTAAAAAACATCGTTTAACAAAGAAAGTAAACCCCATCCATGGCAAATCATGCTAAATGAAAATTTATTTATATATCAAAAAACAAAAAAAAAAAAACCCTATGACTTCCCGGCACTATTTTGGCAGAGGTATGTAAAACGACACAGCAGAACATCTTCAAATCATTACAAGAAAAAAAAAGAAAAAACTCAAAACTGAAATCTTCATATATAACAGAAAAAAAATTATTATCATTATATCAGTTAATACTACTACCATATTTATGTCTATGTGTGTGTTATATTTTTTATAATTATTTTTTATAATTAAAAAAACGACTATTATTTTTGTCCATTGTTCTTCCCCACCACAAAAAAAAAAAAAAATAGAACACATTTTTTGTGACCCATGTTACACTTAGAATTAAGCTTTTATAGATGGGTATAATTTTTAATATAGAAATACTTTTAATATTTTTTAAAATTCAAAAAAAAAAAAAAAAAAACTTAATCACAATTCACATTTCATTGTGTTCATTCCAATCTCTTCCATCAATCCGAACCATGCATTGAATCATTTTTTTTCATTTATTCATTGATATTTTTTAAAAAAGAAATATATGTATGACCAATATAAGTGTTCCAATTTCGTTCACAGTTTCTAGTTGAAAAAAAAAATCTTACACATTTTCTTGTTCTTAGTACAAAATGGTCCGAGAGATAACACTGCATGGCTTCTGTAAATCGAACATGTTTGAGCTGCTAGCTATTTTGCTTGGTTTTTATTTTTCTCAAATCAATTCAGTTTTAATTTTCATCACTTTTTTTAGGTTGGTATTTAAAACGATTTTAAAAATATGTTAGATACGATTTGGATAAAAAAGGATTTGAGAGGTTAGGACCGAAAATAATAGTAATTTTTTAAGTTCTATGTTCATGACCCTATATCAATTTTATTTTAAAAGTTTTTTTTAATTAGCTATCTTAAAATATTTCTTACAAAATCTACTGATAACAATGTTTAGAATAATTCTTAAATTAATTTAATTACGATAAAAACATAATCTTAAAAAAATCGACCCTTTGTTCCTGACTAACTTCGAACAAATATTCTCAACATTCAAGAAAATACTCTTACTCGAAAAAAATGTATTTAAAATTCCATGCCTTCGGCCTTATAAATTTTGGAACAATTTTCTTCAAATTTCACTTAGACAGACTTCTTAAAAAATTCAAATCTTTGTCCCCGATAAACTTCTTAAGAAATCTTCGCCTTTGGTCATGACAATTTTCAGGAAAAAATCAGGAAAAAGGTTGGCTCCATAAAAGTGCTGTGAGTGAGGGATTGAGGTCGACCATGGCATACCCTCTTACCATGGTAGGGACTTGGCAACTAAGCCTGAAAAACTTGTTGAGGCGTCCAAGTATCAACAAGGCTCCGTTCTAAAACAGTCGGAACCCTGACTGCAAACCATAGAACGCTGATAGGCACGAGGTCGAATCACACCCCAGCGTTAGGGGAGACACTTTAAGAAGGTAGTGTCCCAGACCTTTGAGATGGTTATAAAGGGGCGCCATACTCGTCTTGTCGGCTCAGTGATCATAGGCACTCGGTCATTACCTCCGAGACTCTCCCCTGAGCCCGCTTATTGTCCGCGGCTGCTTATTTGTTATACACAGTTACCCAACGAATAGTGTTGGTCTTCCCACTATACGCAAGCTGTGGGCGCGTCCGTTAGCATTCAGCTCTGCTCCTCGTAGGCGGACAGGAACCTCATGGAACATTTCAAAGCGATTAGCGCTATATTTCCGGCCTCCAGTGTGGTTATGCGTCTATATGCTTCAGGAACAAATATACACGCCATAGAATATTTTTTTTTTTAATTTTTCACACAAAAATCAGGGTCCATTTGACCCGCTAAATATTGACCGATCTTTATCAAAACAGGCATGCTTATTATTTGGTCTGATTTCCTTCTCCATGTAAGATATCGCGATGTTCGGGCCATAATTGTGGCCTCTGGAGCGACCAGAAAACCCGACAAAAATTAATTATTTGGTTCATTTCATCACATAAATTTTAACCGATTTTTACCAAAAAAAGATAGGTCTTCATTGGCCAGAACCGGTCCTACATGCAAAATTTCGTGAAGATTGGTTCATAACTGTGGCCTGTATCGTGTTTACAAATTATAATGGACAGACGGACGAACAGACATGTCTAGATCGACTCAGCTAGTCGAGACATGACGATCGGTATACTTCAAGGTGGGTCTAGGACCGTTACAAACTTTTGGAGCTGCACAAAGCTATAACATAGTTGTGTAGGGTATAAAAATATAAAAAGCCCCGATTACCATCCCTAAGTAGACCTTAAAGATATTTTTTATAAAAATCTCACTAAGTTTTTCAATGGTATTAGTTACTACCAACAGTTATTTAAAGATTTACATAAACGAAATTATTATGTTTTATAATTTTGTTATTACTTTTTTGTTCAAAATAATTAAAAATCGGATTTTAAGATTTTTAATAGCTAATTTTTATTTTACTTTTGTATGATTTTTTTAGGTACATTTTCTAGGTTAGGTTGTTTACTTATCACATTTTATTGACCCACAAACACCAAACCAACCAATCCACCCACCCACTTTGCAATGCATTTTTGTAAATAACATTTTTTATGATTTTTTTTTAAATAATTTTTTTTAACAATTTATTAATTAAAATATTTTTCCTTTTATTTTCTTTCTCCTCCTCTTTTTCCTTTATTTTTCGTCTTTTTACCCAACCAGGAGTGGCCTACTTAATTTCTCAGCCGTTGCCTTGGCCCTTAACGACTTGGGTTATCGTGCCGTGGGTGTACGCATTGATTCCGGCGATTTGGCATATCTGTCGTGCTTGGCCCGCGAAACATTCGAACGCGTTGGCGAACATTTCAAGGTGCCGTGGTTCAGTAAATTGACAATTGTTGCCTCGAATGACATAAACGAGGATACCATATTGAGTTTGAATGAACAGGGTCATAAAATTGATTGTTTCGGGATTGGTACACATTTGGGTAAGTGGTGGGAATTTAAAATAATTTTCAAAAAATATATGTTCATTGAATATCTTGTTGTTTTTGCAGTGACCTGTCAGCGACAACCGGCCCTGGGTTGTGTTTACAAATTGGTTGAAATCAATGGCCAGCCCAGAATTAAATTGAGTCAGGATGTTGAAAAGGTTACCATGCCTGGCCATAAGAATGCATTCAGGTATGTGGTGTCCTAATCTATAATTTATCTTTAACGAAACTTTCCGTGTGTGACCAAGGGGTTGCATTATTTTTGTTTTGTTTTTGTCCTTACAGTTACTAATCGCTTTTCTATTTTCCCCCTCCAGATTATACAGCGCCGATGGCCATGCTCTCATCGATTTACTGCAAAAAGTCACCGAACCACCACCAGCGGTGGGCCAAAAAGTTCTTTGCCGTCATCCGTTCCAAGAGTCAAAACGCGCCTATGTCATTCCCTCGCATGTCGAGTCATTGTATAAAATCTATTGGCAAAATGGTAAAATATGCCAGCCCTTGCCGAGATTGGAACAGGTCCGTGAACGGGTTCAAATGTCCCTGAAGACACTGAGAAATGATCATAAGCGTACATTGAATCCCACACCATATAAGGTAAAGGTACAGTTCCAAAAAAGAAAAAAAAAATCAAAAACCTCATTATGCTCGGCCGGGTCGAACTTTTTATAAATTCCATCATAAGTCTTTTGGAAATTGATCGGTTTCTATATAAGGAATTTGGAAAATCATGTCCTTTGGAAGTACCCAAAATACCGCATTACTGAAGACAAATTTTCTCAACGTTTTTATACCCTTCACCACACTGTGTACAAGGTATTATGTCTTTGTGCATGTTCGGGCTTGGCAAAAGGAAACGAGATAGACATATGGTTCTTTTTAAGAATATGTATAGAATCACTTTCTAAGTCGATTTATGCATGTCCGTCCGTCTCTCTCTCGGTTCAGATTTATATATAGCTGAAGATCAGTGGCGTGATCCGAAACTATAGTCTTCCCTGCCTTACCCTCGGCAAACAATGCCATACATTCCCACTAATAAATAGTTGTTTTTTATAAAAACAACAAACTGGGATTTAGCCTGACTATTTTGCAAAAACAAAATACAAATGGTATCCCAAATAAACCGCTAACACTACTATAGCTCCCATATATATTTTCGTTCGATTTAATGTAAATGGTGAACCAAACCCCTTCATTTCTTTTGATTTCAACGAAACTTTACATAGCGCACCCAATTGAGTCTACATTGACGTGTGTCAAGTTTTGTTCAAATCGGTTTAGATATAGCTGCCATATATATTTTCGTCCGATTTTATGTAAATGGTACACGGAAGTCCCTATATATCCTTCGATTTGCACGAAATTTGGCACAGCGTACTGAATTAAGTCTAGAACAATGTGTGTTAAATTTCGTGAAAATCGTTTCAAATTTAGATATAGCTCCCATATATATTTTCGTTCGATTTAATGTAAATGGTGTACCAAGGTCCCTATATATCTTTCGATTTGCACGAAATTTGGCATAGCGTACTGAATTAAGTCTGGAATTATGTTTGTAAAGTTTCCTGAGAATCGGTTCAGATTTAGATATTGCTCCCATATATATTTTCATCCGATTTAATGTAAATGGTGTACCAAAGTCCCTATATATCTTTCGATTTGCACGAAATTTGGCATAGCGTATCGAATTAAGTCTAGAATAATGTGTGCTAAGTTTCCTGAAAATCGGTTCAGATTTATATATAGCTCCCATATATATTTTTAATCAGTTCAGATTTAGAATAGCTCCCTTATATATTTTCATCCGATTTTATGTAAATGGTGCACCAAATGGTCTATGTTTGTTCGATTTACACGAAATTTGGTAGAGGGTTTTCAATTGAGTCTAGAATGCTGTGTGTTAAGTTTCGTTAAATTCGGTTCAGATTTCGATATAGCTCCAATATATATGTTCGTCCCATTTCATGTAATTTTTTTCAATTTTCAATGCATTGCAAATGGAATGATAACTTATGGTGGTGGTTTATAAAAAATTCATAATACATCATAAAAAATCGATTCGAAATGTATTCAATTTTTTTTATTCATTACTCATAACGTACCCAAATATTTTAAAATTGTTTCTAATGTATTCGCTATCTTTCTCTATTTTCCAGGTTGCTGTCAGCGATAATTTGTACAATTTCATTCATGATTTGTGGCTACAGAATGCTCCAATTGGTGAACTATCATGATCTATATAAGGCAATTGTCTTAAAGAAAACTATTTGGCTTCTCTGGGACTACCACCTCAAGGAGTCCGAATCCCATAAAAAAACCAACGACAATAGCTGGATATGCCGTTCAACGAACACCCTACACTATAACACTGGCTGTTAGAATTTTTAATTTCCTGTTTATTTTTTGTGTGAGATGGCATCATGGCATTGTTGTTGTTAAAACATATATTTTTTGGATAACAAACTTTTGGGCAATAAAAAAAACTTACAAGAAAATATAATTATTAAAAAAATATTTGAAACAAAAAATTTAAATTCTATTGTATGTAATTTGTAAATGTACAAATGATATTACAACATAAAACCCAATGGAGTTAAATGAAAAACAAAACTACACATATAAATATTTTTTATTTTGTTTTTAGAATTGTTAATGCTAGTAGTTATTATAATTTATAAGAATTTTTATTATTATTAATCTATCATTGTTAAATAATTTGCAAAAAAGAAAAATTGAAAACTAAAAATCATTTGAGATTTGAAAGTAAAGAGAGCAGGCAGCAATGGTTTTTTTATAGTAGAGTTATTACTTTTTAAAAATTATTATTAGTTTCTATACTATATATAACACATACATACTTAATTATAAAAAATAACGTAAATTCTAAAAATCGTATATATATTAAGAATCTAAAAAACACACATACTATGTAGTAAACAACAAATACATATTTACAATCCTAGCTACAATAAATCCTTTTTTTATTATTTTTTGTGTGAACAATGAAACTAAAATCCTCACCTATAGCTGCTTAAGTAATAACTATGTATGATAGAAAACAAAAAATGGAAAATTTATATAGACATACATATATATAAAAAATAGTACACAAATGTTATGCACAATTTAAGACACCAAATAAAATATTTTTAAATATTTTACAAAAAAACAAAAGACCTCCAAAAAAAACCCAAAATGTTTTATTTCTTTTTTTTAACAATAGAAAACAATTGATTCCACTATTTTTTTTAGTTAGACAAACCTACATACCAAACCTACGAACAATGAACAATAGAAATTTTGAAATGAAATGTGCCTTACAAATAAATACACAAGAATCTACATACATACAAATACAATGAAATAGAAAATTTAGTAAATACAATATATATCGTTCGATTTTTTGTTAGAAGTTAGTTTAGATGATTGAAAAAAAAATAAATAAATAATGGAGTAATAATGAAAATATTAAATTATCATTATATGAAAATATTAAAACCGGAATAACATAGTCCATAGTTTAGTACACGAAGACCCTGAACAGTGAATTTTAGAAAAAAAAATAACGAAATTTATGATATTGTTGTGACTAAAAATTGAGTGAGAGTGAGGTTTGATTTTGAGGAGCACACAATTTGCAATAGTTATAGATTAATATAATGTTATCCCTTTTAACGATTTCTAAGGGGTTGGGGTTCTTTACATGTGTGAGTGTAGTTCTAGGCTACTCTATAGGCGTGGATTTTTAACGAATATTTTTTAAAGGCCTACAACATGCGTGTATTTTTTAAAGAATATGTTTTCAAGGGTAAAACTAAAAGTGCATAATTAAAGGTATATCTTTTCAAGGGCCACAATATGCGGGGATTTTTAAAGACTATTTTTGGGGTGGTTTTTTAAGGAATATTTCTTTCAAGGGCTATAATAGCCATCACCACACTGTGGTACTGGGTATTATGTCTTTGTGCATTTGTTTGTAACAGACAAAAGGAAACGAGATATACACATGGTTCCTTTTGAGAATATGCATAGGATAACTTTCTGAGTCCATTTATGCATTCCGTCCGTCTGTCCGTCTGAGGATGTTAAATTGTAAACAATGTACAGGTCGCATTTATGATCCGATTTGAATGAAATTTGGCATAGCTCACTTATTTGGCCCAAGGACGAACCCTATTGAAATTGAAGAGAATCGGTTCAGATTTAGATATAGCTCCCATATATAGTTTCGTCCGGTTTAAGGTAAATCAGGCACCAACGACCCTATAAATATTTTGATTTGCATAAAATTTGACATAAAGTTCTGAATTAGGTCCAGAATGATGTGTGCCAGGTTTCGTGAAAATCGCTTCAGATTTAGATATAGCTCCCATATATAGTTTTGTCCGATTTTATGTAAATGGTGCACCAAAGCTCCTATATATCTTTCGATTTGCACGAAATTGCGCATAGTGTACTGAATTGAGGCTAGAATGTTGTGTGTCATGTTTCGAGAAAATCGGGTCAGATTTAGATATAGCTCCCATATATATGTTCGTCCGATTTAAGCTAAATGTCCCTACATATCTCTCGATTTAGCAGAGGGTCCAGAATGATATGTGATAAGTTTCGTAAAAGTCGGTTCAGACTTATATATAGCTCCTATATATATATATATATATATATATTCGTCGATTTAATGTAACTTGTGCACTAACGACCCAAAGTTTGGCCGATTGGCACACAATTGTTGTTGTTGTGCATGTTCATGGGGTTTTTTGTCCCTTTGAGATGGAAATCTGTCCCTACCATTATGTTTCGAGAAAATCGGGCTAGATTTAGATTTAAGTTGGTTCATTTTCATGTCAATATTTCTTCGAAAAGGCGACGTCTGTTAGGATACATATGTATAATATACCCAACGTGGTAAAGGGTATTATATAGTCGGTCCAGTCCGACTTTACTACTTTCCTTACTGGTTTAAAGAATACTTTCTAGAGGGCTATTATGGGCGTGAATTTTTTAAAAAAAAATATTTTTTCAGGGCCTATAATAGGCGTGTTTTTTTTAAGAATATATTTTAAGGCCTACCACAGGCGTGGGTTTCTAAAGAATATATTTTCAAGGACAACCACTGTTGGAAATTTTTTACGGAATAGTTTTTTGGTCTATTTTTTTTAATATAATTGTTGTTTGGCTGTAACCTTTTAAAAATTTCTCTACGAACACCAATAACGTGTCATATTGAATGGCAATACTGCCTGTTATAGGCTTTTAGAATTTTTTTTTTAAAAATCCAGGCCTTGAAAAAACATTTGTTAAAAATCCACGCCTATTTTAACCCTTGATTTACGTTGTTGAATTTGTAAATTCCAAGTAAGCGTTGTAAAGAAGAACAATTACTTTCTCCGTATTCTATTTTTTATTCCTGAACATTTTAGTATATCCATAAGCACAATAGTTTTTAGTAAAAAATATTACATAACCTATATAAAATTAAGAGTTGAAATCATAGAAAAAACTATTTTTGGTGTACATTATAAGTTATAGTATCAGAGAGATAACATATAACATAATATTATATAAAATATAACAAATAAGTATATTACAATATAAAAAATAAAAATGCTTCAATATTTGTGTTAAGATAAAATAAAGGAAAGAAGAAAAAAATACAAATTGTTTTTTGATTTATTGAATAGTCCCCATATTTTTTAAAGGGTTAAACAGGAAATAGAACGAAATCCGCAAATCTATCTTAGAGTAAAAATATACATAAAAAGTATGGTAACGAAAAAGAAGTAAAATTTAAAAATTATGTGGTAATACTTACTCAATTTGACAGCAATGAAATAAAATATTGAATATCCACATTTTTAATTAATTTTTATTAATTTTTTATTTCACCTTTTTTTCAAATTTCTTCATTTTTTTTAAATTTGGTTTGTCAACATGTATGGGAACACAGCCGGAGCAATGAGGGTGATACAAAAATACATATTTAGTATGTTACCCTGTGGTGTATAACCACACTGTGCTATTGTGAATGATTCACAATAGCTATAGGGTTTATGAATTGTATTACCATTTTTATATAATTTTATATTGGAAAATAAAGTTAAATTTAAATATATGGCGCTGAAAAAAATCTTTAAAAAATCGACGGCACTTTTGATGCCTGAAAAAATATTCTTTGAAAAATCCACGACTCTTTTGATGGCCGAAAAAATATTCTTTAAAAAATCAACGCCTCTTTTGTATGCCAAAAAAATATTCTTAACAAAAAACCCTAGCCTATTTTAACCCATGAAAAATATTATTTTAAAAATCCACTCTGTTTACAGCCCTTTAAAAAATATGAAAAAACCAAAGCAGTTAAGTTGAATTTTGTGAAATCTTTTTCCTGATATGAGCCCCAAAAATTGGACCGAATTTCAATCCTGGTACATGTTACGAAGCTGAAAGCCAGCCCACAGTTTGCCAACTAGTTTATTTTTCTAACTACCGATTCTAGATGCCTGGTATGTTTGAGCGATTTCCGAAAGAAAATACCCACTCCAAACTGTAAGCCCTGACTGACTCCATTCATCATTCTTTCCTTGTATTAAATACTATTATTAAGTAATTGTTTCTTTATGTTCTTAATTGATTGTTTATTGAAATTAAACAAATAAACCGATTTAAAAACCAAATACAAAAAAATGTTTTTTTTATTTATTTATGGACGTCTAAAAAATTTGTTAGTGGGGGGTTCATCTGGCATTAAGGTATTCACATATCTATCCTGTCGGGCTCCCAATTAATTAAAAAAAATAAGCATTTTGTGGGCAAATTTCACAAAAATACCAGGCGCCCAGAATAAAATAGCAAAGTAGCTCCCAAAAAATATCAGAAAAATTTTACCCGCCAAAAAAATCCGAGCGCCTAAAAAAGTATAAATTTCACAAAAATACCAGGCGCCCAGAATAAAATAGCAAGTAGCTCCCAAAAAAATCAGAAAAAATTTATCCACCAAAAAATTCGAGCGCCTAAAAGTATGCTACAAATTTTGGAAATTTTTTAGTACGGCATTGCCAGATGCAAATTTTGTCTACATATATTTTTTTGGCGGGCTACTTTCTACTTTATTCTGGGCGCCTGGTATTTTTGTGAAATTTGCCCAAAAAATACACAAAATCAGGTGAAAGAAAAATTGTGACGTCATCACATAAAAATGTGTATTGCACGTATAGAGGGGCATGTATACTTACCACATTTGTTTGTATCCATAAATA